CCAGCCGGGGCCGCGCAGGCGCATTCGGGTAAGCGTAGGGCCTCACCTGCCGAAGCGGAGTGCAATGCTATGGAAACCGAGTTCAATAATAAGGCTTTAGAAAGTATGCAGCAATTGATCAAACAACTGTCTTATAGCATGCCCACTCTACTTAAAAAGGGTGTCAGCTCTTGAAAGTTCGCAGGCAGCGCTATCCACGGGTAGCTTACCTTCGACACGCCGGCACAGGGCACAGTCGCCTGCAGGCGTAGCAAGCGCCGACCAGACAAGAGATTGGCAAACCCAGAGCGGTAATCATGGCGGGCAACACTAATAAGCTGGTTGTGAGGCAGTGGAATCATGGCAGTTTCAAAAGACGCAGGGCCCCACTGCTGTACTTTGGTGCTTCTCAGGTGGTCAAAGCACACATAATTATGCTACAGCAAACTCTCAGTGATGCGCTAACTTTTCAGGGTTATCCAGTCGTCTTGATACGTGAGGAGGGGAAACGGAGCCTGGCAACATTGGTCGCTAAATAATGCTCCTTTCATGAAGGCAAACTACAGCTTGGCAAAACTAAGTTTGAGGTTATTATGATCTAAATCATTCCCAACGGCTGGTTTGAAAAGAGCGTATTTCTCCTGAATGTTTACAGTTCGCCGTCGAACAACCAGCAGGCGTTCGCTTCGATAATGGCGAAAGCAGCGTCTTCGGCCAAAGGGGCCCCATCATGGTTGCGGGACACTCTAATGCTCCTCACGACGCTTGAGGCTACCCTAGGCAGTTTCCCAAGGGCAACAACCTCCTAGAAGGTGTATTGGGCTGTTTTCTGGAATTGATTACCGATCCAGAATACCCAACGAGAATGGGCGCATCAGTGACTCGAAACATAATTCGGGACTGGGAACTTGTGAAGAACGTAACCGGAGCAAAATGACAGAACTTGCAAGAGGATCTAGGTAGCAACCAGTTCATAGTGACATTTACCCTAACAGTCAATGCAGTTTCTCTCAGAGAATCAAAAGTAACAGACTGGGATAGCTTTCGTAAATTACGAAAGGAGGACCAAGATGGATACGACAGCTTAGACAGTCTCTTTGCGAGGCTCAAGGAGGATGCTATGTTACGACCAAGGTTGTCAAAACAGATCTGACAGTTGATTGGTTAGATGTTCGTCTCGCGCATTCTTTAGAGGCGAAAAATTCTATCCTAGCTTGATGGAGGACGCAAAGACTGAACCACAGACTTCGTGAGAAAATCGTGGAGCTCAATCCTACAGTATTAAACTGTCCGAACAGCAGCGGAATGAAGTATGCTCTTCGCTTTATGGACAGATGAGAGTAGGGGGCAAATGAAATCTGCTCAAACAATTGCTTGATGAGTCACAGTCCGAGGAAAATCAGAGAATGGCCATAGACAGATTCGTTCACAGGCAAATGGCGAAACAGGTGACAAAAATGTCCCTCCTGCAGACATTAGTGGGACGCTACCGTCCGCTGCGCCCTTCCAGAGATACGGACTATCCGCGTTATCGCGGTAGAACGGTGGAGGAGCTAGATGCGCCTTTCATCGAGCCAGAAATTTGTGAGGTCCTACACGGACTCCACGGGCGCTTTGCACCAGGCCCGGATAGAATCTCAAATAAGCTTTTACGTAACTTTCACGGCAAATTCATTGAAAAACTGACCGAAAAGTCAACATAACCAGGGAGACGGGGCTCGTCCCCGAATCCTAGAAGACTCTTCAGTCGTCCTCATTCCGAAGCCAGGCAAACGTCTAGCGCCAGACAGCATGCGCCCCATCTCGCTTACGTCCTGCGTGGGCAAAAAGGCCAAACATTTGATTCACCGTCGGGTATCCCAATACATCGAAAGAAAAAAGATGTTTCCACACAATATAGTAGAATTCAAGCCTGCACTATCCACACAGGACGCCGTGCTCCTTATCAAACTAGAAGTTATTGACAACAACACCAGGGACACTACAGGTACATATACCTGTCAAATCTCTCGATAGTATCTCGCACAAGTTTGTGCTTGAGGTGATTTTTCACATGGGTCTTGGACAACGTTTTCACGCCTACGTTAGCTCCTTTATCAGGGATCACAGGGTCACCATCAATATCGGTGAAATTAAATCCTAGAAATTTATCTCAGGAGTGAGAGAAACCCCACAGGGGGCAGTTATTTCTCCTCTACTTTTCAATATTGCTATGAAAGGCCCATCGGAGCACCTGGCTACAGTGCGCAGGCTTAACCATACTCTCTACGCGAACGATGTCACCATGTGGTGCATGGGAGGCTCTGATGCTTCGGTAGAGCAGGTGCTTCAAACCGCACGAACCATAACAGAGAACTTTCTGGTTGGTTCGGGCTTGAGTCTGTCATCGGTCTAATCTGAGCTGTTACTCTACAGACCCGCCCGAAAATGTATGACGAACGTGACTCCTTTAGAGGATATTTCAATAGCTATATACATACGAGATGGGAGAAAATTCTCAGGGTGCACTGGATCAGTGTTCTCAGGCTCCACCTGGAGTCTAAAGGCTGCCACTCACGGACTATAGCCCCCATCACCTCCAACACGGAGAACATGCTTAAACTCATACTCGGGGTCTTGAGACGCAGAGGCGGGCAGAGCGAGAGGGATTTCCTTCAACTCTATCATGCATTTCTCATGAGCCACAATACTTATATATATGTTGCTTCGGCGTTGAGCTGGTCCAAAATGGAAGAAGGCAAAATTGGCGCTCTAATGCACAAAAGCATAAAGAGAGTTTTAGGCCTCCTGTGCCCACAAGCACCGAGAGGCTCCTTCAACTGGGCATGCACAAGTCCCTCGTGGATGTCATCGAGGCCCAGCAGATGGCTCAGGTCGTGCGACTATCGTCAAGGCGGGCTGATAGGCGCAACCTAGAATCCATAGGCTGCGTTACTATGGAAATTAACCAGCATGAAGTCACTCTACCACCCTCCTTGAGAGGTGCGTTTGCGTAGCTCCACTTCCTAGACACGTCCACCCACAATACAATGTAGGGCACCACATAGCTCTGGCACGTTTTTTATTGAAGATTGCACAGAGTCATCAGGATCTCGCGACATTTGTCGATGCATTTCAGTACGGGCGTTCTGATCACTTTGCCATGGTGTCAGTCAATCACAATGGCACTCTGCTGTGCTGCGCCTCAATTAGGCAGGTTTCAGCAACGGTGACTGAGCAAATCGCCATCGCCATAGCGATTGTGAACCCATCTCGTCCAAACGTTTTTACAGACTCGCGTTCTGCACCTAGGGCTTTCACCTTGGGTTCAATCTCGATGGCGGCAGGGGCCATTCTCGGCTGCGAGGGAGCTGCCGAATTTCACACCCTAACATGCTTCCTGGCCCACATGGCGGCCATCGTACACCCTGATGTCCCCAACGCCAATTAGTTTGCCAATGACCACGCGTGAAATATCGCACACCGCGGCTGTTGCAGTGAATTCACCGGCGGGTACGCTGGATGGTACAGGGGCTCGCTACTCTTTTTCGATGAGGTTATGACCCATTGTCATCTCTCTCGGAGGGCTCTGCCACTTTCTCATCTACATCTTACCAGGCCGCAATCGTCCGTCTTCAGGATTCTCCAAGCGGGGCCTTTCCCTTCGCGGGGCAGGTTCAGTCGTTTCTCGCCCACCATAGCACAGCACAGCCCCGAGTGCGGAGAGGCTCATTGCTCAATATCTCACATGTTCTGGCAATGTCCTGCGTTACGTGACACCGAGATTAACAAAGAGGGCTGGAAGGAAGCCCTAAACAGCGGAGACCTCCCGGTTCACTTTTGGGCTGTCCAGAGGGCCTGCGAGAGGGCAGAGGGACATTGTCTTTCTGTCCCTACGTGGGAGTGGCCCGCGACTGCTACGGATTCCCCGAGTAAGGGGCGTCACAACGCAGTACCTCAGGGCCACAATAAAGAGGTCTGTCTGTCTGTCTGTCTGTCTGTCTGTCTGTCTGTCTGTCTGTCTGTCTGTCTGTCTGTCTGTTTGACAAACCAGCTGGGGCTTAAAGCATACGCAAATATCTAGAAGTGGTTAGCTGACAGACAGCCCTACAGTCACATATAGGATAACAAACATGACCTTTTCCCTTAGGAAACTAGAGGTACACCACAAGGTGCAGTGCTGTCTTTATTATTCAATCTAGCCGTGATGCACCTGCCAGCTCAGCTGGCTGTGTCCCCGGTGTAGAACATGTGTTTCATGCTGATGGCATCACCATGCGGGCCACGTATGGCACACTCGGAGACATTCTAGAAACCTGCAGAAGCCGTGAGCATTGTCGACTGCTATGCCCGCCATCAGGGCTTTCAGTGGAATGGAATGAAAAAAAAATGGCAGTGGCTTAGCTTAGCTATGCCAGGACATACGTAGCGTTAGCAAAGTTGCAGCTGATTATTCTTAGCTTTCCAGAGTGTCTAGGATTAGCTTGATTATCATGCTTACTGTTCCTGCAATGACACACACACACGGCATACGTATTATGTGGCACATGTATATTTTCTGCTCAACGTCCAGGTAGCTTCTCTGCTGCCACAAATACGGCTCGGTGGTCAGTGAAGTAAAGGCTGGTGCACACCGGCGACTAGCCACGGTCGCGCGACCATTTGCGACTTGTCGCAAGCAGTCGCGAACGGTCGCAAACGGTCGCAAAGCGACTGTTTTGGCCAGTCGCTTCCTGACCGATTTTTTGGTCGCGCGACTGCAGTCGCAAAACAGTTTGACCAATCAGCGAAGACCAGAAGTGACGTCAGCCTTTGTTTACATCCGGCCTCCTCGTATGTTATTTTTTTTCTCGTTGCGCTTGCCTAATGGCGTGAGGTACGAACGACACGTACGTTCCTCCATGGATTTTTCCTCGCATCAGGCGAATGCCACCACGGCCAGCTTTGGGTACTCGGGCGAGCTCCTCATCGACGCGATTAAAATGTACCCATATCTGTATGACAAGCGGCACCCTTCTTTTAAAGATCGGACAAACAAGGACCGGGCTTGGGCAGAGATCGGAAGCATGTTCGGCATGTCGAGTAAGTACCGAGATTTTTTGTTTGAGTAGCTATATAAGCAAGAATAGGTGTGTACTGCATGGCTGGCGTTGCCATAGAATGAACAATGAAAATATTGGTATTTCTACTGCAAGGTTACATGGTTAGTTTGCATGAGATGTATTGACTGTGATGTATGCGAGCGCAGTTTTGTGCATGTTTGTTCTCGCGACTTTCCGAGTTTAACATCGAAATCGACGTGACAGAACATTGTATAGCTGATAATAAAGCTCAGACGTTCGAAATACTGCTCGCAGTTGGCAACTCACCTAGCGCATGCTCCTTGCTGTGTTTGTTCGTCATCGTCTGGCCAAGGGAATGTGTGCTTTTGTGAACGTGCGGCATTTGCAATGCATATCATCTAGTGCGCGGTGAGGGAGGGGGGAGGGTGTTACGCTTTAATTCAGCCTATGCATTGCAGTTGTGCTGTTTTAAAAAAGAAAGCAAAGTAGCTTCTGCTTTGAGCGCATTTTGTGAACTCCATAGAGGAGCGTGTAATTAAAACATACAAAACATGTTTAGCAGCACTCTCAAATGTCCGGATTTGGGAGTCAGACATACTGTTGATGCCAAATGACATGCAATCGTAAAAAAAAAGATATGGTAGTGTTCTAGTGGCTGAACGAACACTGAAGGAAAGTACAGATGGGGGAATTTATTCCTCTGTAATGTGACCCATATCTAATCCTCATTTCTTCACAACTGTTCCTTTCCTCTCTTGTGTTTTTGTCTACTGGTGCCTTTATATTTTATTCCCAGAGGTTATATGTCTTCGCTTTTTCAACTGTTCCTCGTTTTTGTTTGTTTTCTTCGTTCCTATATTTTAAAGTCAATTTTTCATGTCTGCTTCTATGTGTTGGTATGTTTTCATGTTTAGGTCCCTTTATTTTTTTATATTTTCCTTCCTCTCACTCTCTCTATGTTACACTTTGAGTCATATACTATGTTTGTTGCATTTCTTTCTCTCAAAAATTGTCATCTTGCTCTAGTTAGTTTCATCCTTCTTTTCAAGTTATTTACCAAGTTTGCTTTGTTCGACAATCGCTCCCGCTGTACACGACAGTTGCGCTTGGCCGATACCAATGGTATATACTCACCTGTGGAGTTTTGCACAATGCAGTAATGCTTAGAAAGCTTCACTGTGAAGGTGATTAAGACATCATGTGCTGGTTCATGAAATAGACTTTTTGCAAGTGAACTCCAATTACCAACAGTATAAACATCCTCTTTGTTACAATAGCTTGGCAGACATGCTTACCTTCAAGAAACCGTGTACACAACTCTTTGCGCAACTAAACATTGTGTCAGCTGTGATGTCGTGCACATGTAGGTGGATGGTCCAAAACACTAGGTGGGTAGCATTTCTGGAACCCTCGGCTGCAGGTTCCCTCAATCGTGTCGTGGTTTTACAATGTTTAAGCCCCTACCAATACTTAAGTTTAGATGGCATGCGATTCATTTTGATGCCCAATATTCAGATTTCTAGGGTGCTGCAGCCGAAATGATCTGGGCAAAAAAAATAAAGACAGCTCACTATGGTGCTGAGATAAAGTAGAAAATTTATCAGCGATACAGTATGCACAATACATTCTTACAGCAAGGGTTTCGTTTTCAGGTGTCCTTGTTGAGAAACGATTTAAGAACCTGCGTGATATCTTCAAAAGGAAACAAGAAGACATACGTGAAAAACAAAGAAGTGGAGCCGGAGCAGCCGACATTCCAACAATAAACTGGCCCCATTTTGAGGCCATGCTTGAATTAATGGAAGGAGAGTGTCAGCCTGTGGCATTAGTTCAATATTAGCTAACTATTGAGTACCAAACAAAAGAAAAAATTTAATTCACATGACTGTTATACATACACATAAATACACACATATCAATACGCATAAGTACACTGCACATAAACATAGAAGTCCCAAAAGGTAATTCACAGTTGGCATGCATGTGATCATGAACATGGTGGCAATGGGCTATTTTGATGCCGAATAATTGTGGCTACAGCTACGAAGAATAACTCTGTGCATCATTCTTTCAGAGTACTGTGCAACATGAGTGTCACACCTGTCCCGTTTATTAGGGAGGCGATCGCCGGGCTAATTCCAAGAGCCGAAGTATCGGCCCCCCGAACCGCACCACGAAAGCGTGGACAATTTAGAAGTGGTCCTTATTGGTGCGCCAGCGGACGCCGGCTGTGGTCCAAAGAACAAGACAGAGCCAAGAGTTGATAAACAAACAAAATTATATTCTCATTAACGGCAGATCAAAAACAATACACACGTATGCACACTCCACAATAGTTACATACAATACGTCACCAAACAGACAATGTACTACGCAGTACAATCAACCACACTTGAAACAACGGACACAGACAACAATACGCACTACAATGCAGTCGCATGCACTGAACAACCAAGACACTTAAAGACTAAAGAGATATAAAACCTATTCAGTCCAAAGTCCTTGGAACAAAAGTCTGAATGATACTCTTCCGAGAATCACTCACTCAAAGTCCAGGGTTGTTGTCGTTCCGCAGCTCTCGAAGTTCTCTTCCAGGAAACCTCCCGTCTTCAATTGGCCACTCTTCAAACTTCAACTTCTTCGCCGGAACACGTCGGCTTCACACTCGCAACGGTTGCCACGGGTCTTCGCTCGATAGCGGTAAACACACACACTCTTGCCTGTAGCTCGAGCCGTCCCTACGGACCACAAACTTCGCCGACTACACGGCGGACTCTCTACGCACTCTGGCGCTCACTTCCGTCTCCTCCTGCTTCGTCACTACGAACGAAACCTTCGCCGACTACACGGCGGAATCCCTACGCGCTCTGGCGTTAACTTCCGTCACCTCCTGATTTCTTGTCTCGGCTGCTCGGTTAAATACCTTGCGCGCGACTTTCCAGATGTTTCTCGTCATTTCGTCGGCGCGATACGCAGCGAAGGCTGGGGAGAGGCACGAGACGGTTCGACTGCCCTCTCCCGAGGATGATTCACTCGGTCTGACCCCGCCTCCTTCGTTCTCGAAAAATCGCGGTCTTGCCGGGCCGCCGATGTGGGGTGAGGAGGATCGTGTGCGAAGCCGTGCTTCTGCGGGGAGAGCGCGCGCCCGGGAGCCCTGGATGTTTGCTTTCTTTTTTTTTCTTTTTACCTCGCCGCGTTTCTGCCGCCCGTTGTCGCAAGTATTTGGCGGCGCGCTCTTGTTTAGCGCTCGTTCTGTGACACTGCCCCCCACTTTAAGAATATTATCTCATAATATTCAAAACTCCACAGACGAGCGCGAACAGTCACCACACACTCTCACAGACTGTAACACCATCAGTCACTCATGACACTTCACATTCACAATAGATCACTTAATACAATTGTACATTGTAATTCAATTACACGACACGTGAAAACACAACCACAAGCACATGAGTACAACACTCCACCACACATTCCCAATAATACAAACGTACAGAGTTCTGTCTATACAACAATTATACAACACTATACATCACACCATCGCACAGAACACTGACTCGCTCGACATACACTTGAGACACAGGATAACAAGAACATTAACACAACATATGTCACTCAGCCCTGCCAGACACATTCTGATTCCACCTCAGCACCTATCTTGAGTACTTCGAACAGCGCTTGCGCCCCTTTTTGCGGTGCTCGCTCGATCTATTCTTGTGTTTCCACGTTCTTTTTCGGCGAGCCCTTTCCCACGACGATATCTGAGGCGTCGTCTCAGCCATCGTTGTCTCTTCCGACACCGTTAACGCGTCATTACATTCGACGGGTCCTGTCTGTTTATTTACCCGCTTGATAATGCCTCTACATTTTGCCCGGCTGGCCAACTCCGTCTCCTTTACACTGTCAGTCGGTTGAGGTCGTGCCGACGTACGTCCAGTTGCTCGGCCTGTGAACTTATTCGACACGATCGTCTTCTCCTTCGCTGTCCCTTGCGCCGCAGCTTCACCTTGGGCTCTAGTGAGACCCGTCATGGGATGCTCCTCCACTGTATCTCGCGGCCGCTGTGTTGGCGAGGGCTCTATCTTCGGGTCTTCTCCCAAACATTCTGGATCACTTGGCCCTCGCGCCCCGTCGATGTTTCCGATGACAAGGTCATGCAGGGGGGTCGTCATGCATAAAGCAGTAACCTTCCCGCTGAAGTACGGGGTTTCAACTTCAATTTCTGCTTCGGGAAGCATCCGGACCGTACGGTCAATTAGGCAAACCGGTCTCGTTCTGCCTGTCAACTCTCTTTCCCGTACCAAATTTCTCCTCACAATAACCGTGGAGCTACCGGTGTCTCTTAGAACCGTAATCTTCTTGCCTGCAATCTTTCCAGGAAGCGTTGGCATTCCCTTCGTAACACCGGTTGGCTGTTTTGACATTACAGCCCCCACAATTGGAATTTTCTCCCCATTCTTCAACTCTACGAATCCATCAGTGACGGCATTATTATCAGATTTCGGTGCCGCTTGCACACAAGATACCTGGTGAGTTTGACTCACTCCGTTCCGACAAGCGTCTGCTTTGTGCCCAGTCTGACCACACTTAAAACATTTCACTACCGTAGGGCTCGTAAAGATCGTTCGACAGTTTTTCGCGCGATGACCCACTCGGTTACACAGAAAGCATCGCTGAATGCTCTCTGGTGCACGCTTCTTTTCTTCGGGAGCCAATTTCTTCGAATCATCGGGGCACTCCTTCTTGACCTTGGCCAAATTAGTTCCTCCTTGCGCTTCTAAGAATTGATCAGCCAATTCAAGCATTCCTTCAAATGACTCCGCCTTCCTCTCTTTCAAATACAGCGACAGGCTCGGGTGGCAACTAGTAAGAAATTGTTCTCTAATTAGGAGCTCTCTAAGCTCATCGTACTCCTGCGCTGTCCCTGAAAGTTCAATCCATCGGTCGAAATAATGGCAAAGTCGGGCGGCATACTGCGTAGCCGTCTCACCGTCAGCTGGCTTTGCTGTCCGAAATCTGTCCCGGAATCCTTCTACGGTAAATCTAAATCGCTTCAGCAAAGCAGCTTTCACCTTTGTATAGTTGGCTGCATCGGTCGGCGTCAGCCTACCGTACACACTGAGCGCTTCACCGCTCAAGCAAGTACTCAAAGCAGTTGCCCATTGATGTTCCGGCCAATTCTGGCTCCTCGCAATCGTCTCAAATCTGTGGAGGTACGCGTCTAGGTCGTCCTTCCTTTCATCAAACGCTACGAGCAGCTTGCTTGGGTTCAAGCGGAAGCCGTGATCTTCCCGTTCGCTGCTTTCAACTCTAGCTTGGACGGGAGTTTCACTTCGCTGTTGCAAACGGAGCCGCTCGAGTTCCATCTCGTGCTGCCACTGCCGCTCCCTTTCCTCTCTTTCTTCTTTCAGCTGGCGCTCTTTTGCCTCTCTTTCTTCTCTCGCCCTTTCGGCTGCCAACTTTTCTCGCTCCAGCTCCAACTTCAATTGCTGCTCTCTTTCTTCTTTCGCCCTTTCAGCTGCAAGCTTTTCTCTCTCTAACTCCAACTTCAATTGTTGCTCTCTTTCTTCCTTCGCCTTTTCAGCTGCCAACCCCTCTCGTTCCAACTCAGCTGCTTTTTCTTCCTTGGCCCTCTCAGCTGCCAACCTCTCTCGTTCTAACTCAGTGGCTTTTTCTTCCTTGGCTCTCTCCGCTGCCAACCTCTCTCGTTCTAACTCAGCGGCTTTTTCTTCCTTGGCTCTCTCCGCTGCCAACCTCTCTCTCTCCACCGCCTCTTTCTCCTTCTGGCTTACCCACTTCCGTAGTTCGGCGCCAGAAAGACCCATCTTCTCACCAAGCGCAACTAACTTTTCGAGATCCATTGTGTCTCGCAACTCGCAAATAAAACCTTGCCGCGTGCAAAAAGTATCTGCCTAAATCAGTCTATCGGAACACTCCCCTGCACTCGTTAACGAGAACACTGAACAACACACAAAATCGTTCCGATAGCACTATCAACAACTCGAGGCTCTTTCTCACTACTTTGGACACACTGTGCACCAAAAGGTCCTGTCGCGGACGCCAGGTTAATTGTCACACCTGTCCCGTTTATTAGGGAGGCGATCGCCGGGCTAATTCCAAGAGCCGAAGTATCGGCCCCCCGAACCGCACCACGAAAGCGTGGACAATTTAGAAGTGGTCCTTATTGGTGCGCCAGCGGACGCCGGCTGTGGTCCAAAGAACAAGACAGAGCCAAGAGTTGATAAACAAACAAAATTATATTCTCATTAACGGCAGATCAAAAACAATACACACGTATGCACACTCCACAATAGTTACATACAATACGTCACCAAACAGACAATGTACTACGCAGTACAATCAACCACACTTGAAACAACGGACACAGACAACAATACGCACTACAATGCAGTCGCATGCACTGAACAACCAAGACACTTAAAGACTAAAGAGATATAAAACCTATTCAGTCCAAAGTCCTTGGAACAAAAGTCTGAATGATACTCTTCCGAGAATCACTCACTCAAAGTCCAGCGTTGTTGTCGTTCCGCAGCTCTCGAAGTTCTCTTCCAGGAAACCTCCCGTCTTCAATTGGCCACTCTTCAAACTTCAACTTCTTCGCCGGAACACGTCGGCTTGACACTCGCAGCGGTTGCCACGGGTCTTCGCTCGATAGCGGTAAACACACACACTCTTGCCTGTAGCTCGAGCCGTCCCTACGGACCACAAACTTCGCCGACTACACGGCGGACTCTCTACGCACTCTGACGCTCACTTCCGTCTCCTCCTGCTTCGTCACTACGAACGAAACCTTCGCCGACTACACGGCGGAATCCCTACGCGCTCTGGCGTTAACTTCCGTCACCTCCTGATTTCTTGTCTCGGCTGCTCGGTTAAATACCTTGCGCGCGACTTCCCAGATGTTTCTCGTCATTTCGTCGGCGCGATACGCAGCGAAGGCTGGGGAGAGGCACGAGACGGTTCGACTGCCCTCTCCCGAGGATGATTCACTCGGTCTGACCCCGCCTCCTTCGTTCTCGAAAAATCGCGGTCTTGCCGGGCCGCCGATGTGGGGTGAGGAGGATCGTCTGCGAAGCCGTGCTTCTGCGGGGAGAGCGCGCGCCCGGGAGCCCTGGATGTTTGCTTTCTTTTTTTTTTCTTTTTACCTCGCCGTGTTTCTGCCGCCCGTTGTCGCAAGTATTTGGCGGCGCGCTCTTGTTTAGCGCTCGTTCTGTGACAATGAGTGCCATTGACCAAAGGTAATGAATAATGCTTACCCTATATTGAACAGAAAATGAAATGTTTTGGTTAGCATAGCACAATGCATCAGCACATCGCAAAAAATATAGCATACCGTATAAGTGGCACGTGGACAGCTTCACAAAACAGAATATTGAAGACAGAACAGTAAGAATGAGAGAATTGAGTGTACTTCCGTGTCATTCTCGGCTCTCATTTACCAAAAGAAGGAAGGCTTAATACAAAATCTAAAAATCTAAAGAGATCGCTTATTGCATGTGTCATGAGGCTGTTCATAGACAAGCATTGCACATATTCATTACAAGAATGCAGCATAAGCACTTATATTTTAGCAAAACAGTGAAAATGCTCTAAAGATGCACACAATAGCACTGACAGAATCACATATTACATGTTCTCTTGCAGCAGCCACATCACAGCAGAAGAGGCTAAGGAGAGGTGAGCATGAACAAAAATTTTCGGTACCATGTGCATGCATTGAAGCTGTACACGCATGGACTTGAACCTAGAAACATTTTTTATTACTAGGTGATTGTACTTTGCAAAATTATGAAAAATACAAGCGTGCTTGAAAGGCGGTGTTCAGGTCGTTTGCTTGCCCAAACCACTGCATTTTTTTAAATACATTCAGCACTCAACACTGAACAAAAGCACACAGGAATACATGAGGGCACAAGCATTGTTTCTGTGTGAATGTGGTTATTGTACAACGTCAAATATTTCCGAAAAAGCAAAGTATTCATCAGCGACAATCTGCAATTAAGCAAACTAATGCATTATCTGCACACACTGGCAACACATTCATGTCAATTCGTTATGAACAAGTGCCCAGCGCTGATAGCAATACAAGTGAGCTGAATAATGTGAAGCATTCACTCATTCGTAGCAGTAAAATGATGCTGCAACAGTCGTATGCAGCATGTGTTCAAGAAACATAATGAGAGCAGGCACAGTTTCATCAGACACATCGTTTGCACAGCCATTTAGGATTGACTGCATAAATTCCATTCACATAGCCAGTGAGATATTGTTACGGGGTTAGAGACTCTTGTACAAAATGCGTTTACAGGGGAAAACCCACAGGCAAGATTCACAATGGCTGATTAACACCCTCGCGTGCTTATCAGCTGCTTGAGTTCTTCTTCTACCTTTACTTCATCTTCGTGACAATATCTCTTGTTCCGATTTAGATGCGCAGCCTACATAGCATTTTATTAACGTAATAGGTTCATTAAACTTCTGTATGCACACCTTCCATACAGCAGTGCCCAATCAAGAGGTAACGCTAGTGTAAAATAAACCTCGTGTTGAGTGCAATCATAATGGAATTTCAACTCCCAAAGAATGCCTAAACTGTTCATGTACTAGTGGCATCATCAAATACATAGAGAAAAATTTTCATCACTGCAGATCACCGCCTCGGCCAAGCCATGCAGCAGAACCGGAACGTACCCCTGATACGGCTGAGGAGACTGGTGTCGACACCTGCAGCAATGAGTAAAACCTTTATGAATCCGCCTAAGTAATGACAAATGAAGGGCATGCATAGATAGCCAATCTATTAAATCTTTAAAACATGTTTTGTAACCTTCTTCATGTTCTAGCACATTTGGAGAATGTGCCTAATGTTTTCACACCAGATTCTGCTGCATGCAATTGTAACACTTTATAAGTTGTATAGTAATACTGCCTCCTTCTGCAGTGATGGTTCAGCAACCACCTCAAGAGAGCAGCCACTATCAAAACGGTGTGTGAACGAAAAAATTATTTTAGGTACTCCTGGCAAGAGGTCACAATCACAACTTTTCGAAAAGGATCTCTTTCTGTACATTTAAGCAATATGTATAATTCACTGCAGGTCACGCTCGTCAAGACGACAACGGACCTCCGAGGGTGCTAGGTGAGATATACCGCTAACTCTTAGAGGATAAACTTGCAAATTTTTTTCTAACAATCCTGCGCATGCTACAAAATACAAAACTTTATAAGATTAACGCTTGGTCAAGTTGGTACACAGACATGGTAACAAAAAAGAGTGTGAGAACGACAAGGTTGAAACAGAAGAAACAGGACAGAGCACTGACTTTAAACTGATGTTTTCATTGTGGGCACATTTATACTAAGGCAGACAGAACCCATGTAACTACCGTATTATTTAGACGTTAATATCAGAACATCAGCACCTTGTCCCAAAACACGAGTGTCCGTTTCAAAGATCAAAAGCGCATTTATTTCTCACAGAGAGGTAGACGCCCTATTGACACATTTATCTTTTTAGTGTTCTATTTAATTTGCTTCAGTTGCTCTATATTTTTTTCTGTCTTAGTGCCGAAAATCACAAACATCAGTTGAAAGTCAGTGCTCTGTCTTTTTTCTTCTGTTTCTACCTTGTCGTTCTCACACTGTTTTTTTTGCTGAATGGTGCTTTATGAAGTAACAATGCAACCTTAAAGCATTCATATGCATGAATCGCAGATCACACTTGCTTTGCAGCAATGCAGGAGAGGGCACACGCCATGAAGCTGTGGCGCAAGCGTGCACGGAGCACCTTGAACACATCAGAGCGAACAAGGGGGTCATCAAAAAAGATAACATTGGTTTCTTCGCTCTGCGTAGCGATGCACGCCTCAGAGAGCTACCAGTGCACATTGCACAAGATGTAATGCATGCAGTAGAAGTTATGCTGTATGAAGCAGAGGCGAAATTGCAGCAGAGCAGTGAAGCAAATTGAAGTGTTTATATAATGTCAGTGACACCCACCTTTTTTTATCTTGTGTTCACTTTTCTAGTCCCAACTTAAAGGGGTCATGACTGGTCACTCAACAATTGACGATTGTCAGCAATAACAAAACTACAGAGTAAAATGTGCTAGTACACGTGTGAAAAGGGGCCTCAAGAGATTATTTTAGTCAAAAATATACCATAGAAGTGCTCGGCTCCTAAAACTCGACCTACCACAAGTGACCGCCATTTTGTCATGGCGTGCGAGACGTCACAAGCCAAAGAAGCAATGGCAAATGGTATACGCATTGCACATTCACAGGACCCGTTTTGACATCTGAAATCATTTGCTGCAAGTACCAGCGCTACATTGCTGACACAGTAGCCATGTTTCAACCCCTGGAAGTCATTTAGCTCTAGTGGAGAGTTCAACAATGCAAAAAATGTGATTGCAAGCGCAGTTGATGACGGAACACGACCGTCTGCCAGAATGCACACTGTGCAGCAGCTTGTCGAGCAAGCGGTTCGTGATGTCATGGATAGTGAGTACGTCAGTATTGCCCAACTGTCAGGTGACTAGCTGGTTTATAAAAATATGCGATTAAAAATTAGCAGCTTGACCAAGTTGCTCGAATTTTGCCAGCTTGTATGTGAACATACAAGAATCAGCTCATACAACACACATTATGCTTGAAAATTGGGTGTCGTGACCCCTTTAGGGCAACTTATTTCTGTGATAATTGTAGTGATAATCATGCAATAATCAAATATTTTAACATGAATTATTTATTTTTGTGTTTTCATGCTTATATTTGGACATGACAGTTTTCCCTGTAATGTATCTGTTGTGTCACGGGTGATTTTTCTCTTGTTTGTTTAGCTTAAGAAGATGCTATGTACATAAGTTCTGTAAGCAATAAAATGCATTTACAACCCACCTTCACCTTGTACGCCTCAAGTGCTGTTCACCACTTTGTCCTGCCAAGGCACTTGACCGTCTGTGACGAAGTAGTGCGTCAATTTATCTTGCACTTCCTTGGCATACCTACAACGCATAAGTGCCATGTGAAATTTCTGTCGGCACAGCCATGTTGGAAGACACACACTGTAAAAGGAGCATGCTGAGCTTGAAAATCTCACGCATAGTTGCATTTGAGTGTCGTAGTCGTGACGCTACATTGCCAAAGTGTTCCTCATTTTTATGTATTAATGAGCGCTACCTCTGCTGTCTATTTTCTACGGCATCATCACAGCTTCTGAGAGAATGCATATTTACTGACTAACTTTAGAAATTTCGATATGTCAAGTTTTGTGACAGCCAAGGTCAGCAACTGCTCGCATTTGAACAAAACCATTGTACACTTTTGAGAGAACGATTGCCCTGTACAGGTAAACCTAATTAGGGCTGGTGCACACCGGTGACTAGGAGCGGTCGCGCGACCATTTGCGACTGGTCGCGAACGGTCGCACTGCTTGTGCACTCCTCAAGCTGTCGTATATGCAGTGAATATTTCTGTGCCTACATATTTTGGCTAATCATAAGCATGCATCAACTTTTTCATGGAAGAGCGTACGTGCTCATATCACTCAGGTTGAAGAAGGGCAACCTAAACGTACCTGTAGCAATTTGCTTAGCATGGATTTCTGAAAAGCTGTAATTTCAAGGAGAACCTATCTCGCAAAACGTACATCACTCAAGTCTATTGTTTAAATTGCTTTCACACAATGTGCTACCGTCCACAATACGTTTTGCCAGTGTGCTACTGTCCACAGTGTACTGGGTCACTGTCATTTTAACAGAACATAGGTATATTTGTAGCAAGGTGCAGGGGTTAAATGCTGCCCATGTTTGTGAGAAATTTCGCATGTGTACTTGTGCAAACACACACCGTCGTGCATGCAGATATATAAAGGGTGGTTGGTTGAACCTCCTCCCTCCCCGATACTGAAAAATATTTTTGGCATGAATACTCTTTGAGTGCCTTGAACAGCACATCAATTTGTCCTAACAATTGGTGCATAATTGTACTCGCAAGGCTTATGATTGTGTTTCACTTATTTTATAACATCATTAATAATTGCGCTCTATATAGTATTTGTGCATCAGGATAACAGAAAACGGGAACTGACACTTCCACAATGTAATGTTATTGTGTAGCGCAGAATCCCATTTTCTGGGACTTTACAAGCGGAAACCACGTACTGATTACGCAATAAGCCACAACAAATGGCTTTGAAATATTCACCACCTGAGATTCTTAACGTACGTGCGCAACAAACGCGCCAACTTAAGTGCATTTCGCCTCCACCTAAAGGCGATTGATGCGGCCGTAATCAAACCCGTCACCTTCGCGTAAACTGCCGACCGCAGTAACGACTGCACCATCGAGCCCGCATACGTCATAAATGCAATTCGTTCTATCCGCCCAAGCAAAACTTCCTTACAAGCGAAGCGCAGCCGGAAGCCACAGCATATTAACCTTCAAAGCATACGCTCTTACCTAATGGTCATGGCCAGGCAGTCGTGCGCCGAAATTGTAGGCCGGTGGTTTGTGTCCTGCTTGGATATTGCGGGGCGCAGCAGTTCGAGCAAAGTATCGAACGTTCGTGGCGGCATCCGCATGAAGCTAACCACCAAAAAAAGAATGAGATAACATATTATGCACTATATATAAGCACGTAAAACAACCATAAACTTACTCTCGCAAATACTCCTCATCGTGCGAGCGCAAGTCGGGAAGCAAACGCCCTGTGTGGCCAGGCACTTCTCGCGAGCGAAGGGACGGTCTCACCCGCCACGACCTTGCTTGCTTTGAAGGCTTTCGTGCTGCCAGCGCTGACACGTTGGCTGAGCACATCAGCACCGCCACAACCTCTTCTTCATCACTCGACTCGAAGTCTCTGATGCTGCCGGGAGAACGCTACGCAAACACAGCCGTCAAAAACAAACGCATCGCGCTCAGCGGGCTCGGTATCTGATCAGCTGATCGTCACCGGTCGCCCAAGTTCTCGTTGATAACGAGATCTGTACGTGACTCTCCGGGTTTGCGACTTCCGGTCACTGGCATGAAGCCTTGCCGGTGTGAACGTCGTTCGCAATTTGGTCGCCAGTCGCAAATGGTCGCGCGACCGCGGGTAGTCGCCGGTGTGCACCAACCTTAACACGCTGCCGTCTCTATGGTCCCAACACGGTATTTGGAATTGTCTATTTTTCTTTGCTAGACAAGATCAATGGCGCTTCCCCATTGGGTCGTCTGTACAGTTTGAACACTGGCTAAGTCGAGGTTAAACGTGTCCTTCAAAAGAACACAAAGAGAGTCTGGAGCACGATTGAAGTCTCCGGCCACCACACACAGTTCACTTGCCGCACGATTAGGTATAGACGTAGCCACTACGTGTATTGTGTCCTTAAGCGAATTGTTTGGTGACAAAAACACGGCTTCGGTTATCACACCACTTTCGTCAAGCTTAACGGCACAGGCTTCACCCTTGGGCACCGCTACGTTTGGCAGTTCACTGGCAGCAATTCTATTCCTGACATAGATGCAGACTCCCGAGCTTCTGGTAGCGTCAACACGACTGGCAAAAGTAACTATGCTAAACTCGGCGATTGTGACAGCTTGTGATCGCGTGGCAACACCAACCTCTGTAAAGAGGAGAACATCACCAGTGGTCAAAGGGCGGTCACCACGAACGTCTGCGATATGCAAATCAACGATTAGACATTGAGCAGGGCGACTGTGTAGACCGTGGCAGGGTTTGTCGTCAGCGCTCTACAGCGAGCCTATGCTGTGTCCAGGCCGTGCTTGTTTAAACGCTCATACTCTGATACCAAAGCGTTATCCGTATTGCTAAGATGGTGGTAGAATGTGTGCTCGTACTGCACGTTGGTCAGATACAAGCCCTGGAAAGTAGTGACACGGCTAAGGGCAACGTAGACCAACTTTTGAGGGTGAGCCTTAGCGTAGTCGTATACCACAGTGTCGAAGGTACCACCCTGCGACTTGTGTATTGTCATGGCGCTTGCTGTTGCGAGAGGAAACTGGGTTCTGCGCATCGATACATGCCTCAAGGCTTTTCCCTTCATGGAAGAAGACATGGTTATGAGCTCGATCGGAACTCATTGTGCACAGCGCCTCACGCCAAAACGGCAGCTCACTTTGGCCTTGGTTAACGTTCCCACATCACTGGGACATTGCAGCCAAACTCCCTTTCGCATATGTCACAGAACGAGCGCTAAAAATGGGCGCGCCGCCAAATTCTTGCGGTAACGCGCGGAAGAGACGCCAGGAGGTCAAAAGAAAAAAAAAGAAAACAAACATCCAAGGCTCCCCGGGCGCGTGCTCTCCCCTGGGAAGCGTGGCTTCGCCGACGAACCTCCTCACCCCCCATCGGCGGCCGAGATAGCCCACGAAAGTTCTAGAACGAAGGGGGCGTGGTCATACCGAGTTGAGTCATCGGCCGCGGAGGGCATTCCAACCGTCTCGCCTCTCCCCAGCCTTCGCTGCGTATCGCGCCGACGAAATGACGAGAACTTTCTGGAATGCCGTGCGGGAGGTATTTAACCAAGCAGCCGTGATGAGAGATCAGGAGAAGACGGAGTTTAGCGCCAGAGTGCGTAGGGATCCCGCCGTGTAGTCGGCGAAGGTTTTGTCCGTAGGGACGAAGCAGGAGATGAAGAGGATTTCCACCTGAGGGGTGAAGGCTCGAGCTACAGGCAAGAGCCTGTGTCTACCGCTATCGAGCGAGGACGCGTGGCAACAGCTGCGTGTGTGAAGCCGACGTGTTCGGGCGAAGAAGTTTGAAGCTTGGAGAGTGGCCTATTGAAGACGGGAGGTTTCCTGGCAGAGAAACTTCGGCGAGGTTTCCTGGAAGAGAAACTTCGAGGGCTGCGGAACGACAACAACGCTGGACTTTGAGTGAGTGATTCTCGGAAGAGTATCATCTAGACTTTGGTTCCAAGAACTTTGGACTGAATAGGTTTTCTATCTCTTTAGTCTTTAAGTGTCTTGGTTGTTCAATGCATGCGACTGCATTGTAGTGCGTATTGTTGTCTGTGTCCGTTGTTCCAATTGTGGTTGATTGTACTGTGTAGTACGTTGTTTGTTTGGTGACGTATTGTATGTAACTATTGTGGAGTGTGCATTCTTGTGTATTGTTTTCGATCTGCCATTTTTGAGAATATAATATTTGTTTTGTTTATCAACTCTCGGCTCTGACTTCTTCTTTGGGCCACAGCCTGCGTCCACTGGCGCGCCGAAAAGGACCACTTCTAAATTGTCCACGCTTTCGTGGTGCGGTTCGGAGGGCCAATACTTCGGCCCTTGGAATTAGCCCGGCGATCGCCTCCCTAATTAACGGGACCGGTGTGACAGCATATCGTCAACGTTAAGCTCAACTTCCATTAGCGTACCAACCATGCCGTTCACCAAGCCATCTGTCACATCAATCTTCTTCAGCAGCATATACGGCCGTTTCCTACAGAACGTCACCACAGGTAGCAGGTTGCCACTCTCCGCCGAATGAGGTCTTGAATTCTCGTGGGGGCCTCACGTTTCTCTTGTCTGCTCCAATGGCCAGTCACCACGTGTATGGCGACACTGTCATGCTTGTATTCACAAGACTCAGCAACCATCCTAATATAACTGTCGACGTCGTTGTTACTAAAAAAGAGATAGACTGCCATGGGGTACTGTATAGCAGCCTGTTCACGGGTGACGAAACGATCGGTAAGCACACGAATCTTGTCGCCGTTCAACTCCTTTCCGTCGCCTATCTTGGTGAGGAGACCCGAGAAGCTTGCATCACTCTGTCTAACCACTTCGGTTAAAGGGAAGTATGAGAGGTGGTGCCACGGGACCACGGACGAACTGTAGACGCTTCCGCCACTCCGCGGTCTCTTTTATACCTCACTTGCTCGCACCGGAGGGAGCTGCCTAAGGTCCCTGCAGAAGATTACGTCGAACCCTCCGAACGGCTCCGTCACCTTTGAAGCCCTGAGTTCTCTCAAGCGTAAGTCCACTTGTCTGAGAAGGTCCGACGACAGCATGCTGACCTCATCCAAAATGATGCACTTCACGTCACTAAACAGCATCCGAAACGTATTCAATTCGCTTGATGTAAGTCCCCGCTCCTCCCTCCTGTTAGTCATAATGATCTTGAATGCCGAATGTACAGTTGCGCCGTTCAAAGCAACGGCAGCTTTACCGGTTGTTGCACAGGCCACGTACGCATTGACCGTACTGTTTTCCTGACCATCCCCAGACGAGATGGTACGGTTACGACAGTAGCGGTTGTAAACGTCCATGATGAGGCGCAACGTGGTCTTACCACAGCCAGCAGGCCCGGTAAAGAAGATCAGCGGTTTAGTCGTGCGGTCAGTAACGCGGTGTATCACTTCCCGTATCAACGATGCATGCTGTTCGTTAAGCAGCCTCATGCACGCGTAGAAATTGCTTAACGGCATAACGTCGTCTCTACGGCGCACTCCAGGGCACGTGGCTGCAACCACCTTCTGTTGCGTCTTCGTCGTCACTTTCTTGGGGACCAAGACTGAATTATCATTCATGTCCACCAAGGTCGGCACCGCAGACGGCCTCTCTTCCGGTTGTTCCACTTCCTCTGTGTGATTTGCTTCCGAACGGCCAACCGCCTCGCAAGCCGAAATCAACTCCGAAACGGTTACACCAACATAGTACCTCTGTTTGATTCCCATAATGGCTTCTTTGTTATTGTCGAACATTTTCTCAAAGGCCTTGCCATCCAGAATGTCCAATTCCTTACAAAACGGCACGTACAGCATCCCTCTTACAGTTTACCACGTCGTCAATGCTGTAGTTTCGGCACCTAAGCATGGCTGGCTTCTGACGCTTCCTCAAGCTACTGCGATTGTACTCGACCATAAATTCGGCAAACATCACGCTCTACATTTCAGCGGGACGGTGTTCATACCACTCAAGCGGTGTTATGTGCCAAATGTCACGACTCGTAGGCAGCACTCCCTGTTCCTCCAACTCGGCCTTCGTCTTGCGGCTCCGATGACGCTCCTCTGGCCAATGGGTGTTAACGTAAATTACATCTCGGCTAGTGCAACACATGTCAAATCGCCGGAGAAACCAGGCAGCCTCATGGGCCGACATCTCAATTGCATTCAGCATATTCACCCCTAGCTGTGGCATAGCGTTTCCAAACGACAGCTGGGCCGATCGGTCCTGTTCGATAAAAGCTTTAATAGTTCTGCCCAAGTTGGATACGCCACGGTTAGCTTGTTCACGTACTCCATCACGTAAAATACACAGGCATAAACGTCAAGAATTACTTCGAGGTACATGTTAGACTTCAGCACTGAGGCTATCCAAGAGTGAAAGGGGTTGAGATTCGTCTGATTCATATCCCTTTTAGGCAGCAGCGTAGGCCTGGCCAGACCACTGCCAATTACCTCCTCATACTCGTCAAAGTCACGTATGCCATGATGTTGAAGCATTTCAGTGAAGGCCTGATAGGCAGTGGTGTCGAGAGCACTATGCAACGCATCATGAGTGTGCTTCAGGAAGCAATACTGTTTCAAACTGGCTTCCTCGTCGTCGGCAGGGGCCTGAAGCGGAGTAAGCACTTTAGTGTTCGGCATGGGCCAGAACGGTGCATGGAAC